TTGGCATTCCTTCAGAAACAAGACATTCGGTCATTGTCTGAGCGGAAAAAAAAACAGCAATGGATGAAAGGTCTGGAACAGTGGTTATTTACAGTGTTTCCATTAATAAAGTGGTTTGCACTGGGAGCAGGGGTATACTGTGACACTGTGGGATTTAAGGCCTCAGCCGAGAGTGATGAAAGATCTATGTGCTAGCTGCTGCCTTGCTGTGCCTGGGAAGCAGAACTGGAACTGTGGTCCTAAGGAGGGCTGATCCGCTTTTGGCTATTTCACAGTATTGTTATTAGTATTTGCTGTGTGTTCACTCCTTTTTCACATTTTTATTTTCATCATCACATTTTGTGAGAATGTCTCTCCGCAGACCGTTAATCCAGTTTCACTCTTGAACTCAGAAGTGTTTTTTGTGCTGTTCTAAGAACCCGGCCTCCCACTCAAAACTCCCACACATATTTGTATTTTTATCTTCCTGGGGATCAATGGAGGTCCATCAATTGTTTCATTGTGTCTTATGTTAAACTAAAGCTCTTTGTGAAATTGTTCACAGACGGAGCAAAGAGGCCATTTTTTTCCCCCCACATGAGAAGAAAGCATTTGTAATTTTTTTTTTAAAGTCAGTCTAATAGTGTTGCCCAGCCATCCCAAATGAGTATAACATCAAACATAATTTCACACACATTTAGCATTTACAATTGCTGTGTATAAATGCATCCTTATATATATACAGTAGCTTTAATAAAATTGAAAAAACAGAACAAGCTCTGTTTAGAATATGTGCGCTAAATAAAATTGTTTTGGGTTACTGTACTAGGATTATATCCAGCTCATTGTGTGCAGGACTAAGGCGTCTATTATAATTTGTGTATAGATGAATAAATGTGTAGTTATAAGATGCAGACAAAAGAAGCAACACAAATGATGGGATCATTCCAGCTTTGAATTTAACAGCTTAATTGAACTAATTCTTTGGATAAGAATGACGGTTTTTAGGTTTTTTGGATTAACAATTTCTTAGAGCTACTATATGGATAAGGAGAACCATGGTAACTCAGACAGCAGGGGCCTCTAGCTCCTGACCGGAAGGTCCCGGGTTCAATCCCAGGTAGGGGCAAGCGATGTACTGTAGCTTGTTTCAATTCCTTCCAGACAGCTCCCAGGTCCACTCAGCCAGCTTTCCAAGTGAGAACCGGGGGTTAATCCTTCCGGGAGTAATAGGCCGGCCAGAGCGTGATGCTGACCACATCACCTCCACCACCAGTGTTGGATGGTCAAGAAAAATGGTGACCCCTGCCCCCCATTCCCCATGGGCCTTTATGGCCCGAAAAGGGGACCTCGCCTACCTACCTATTGTATGTATAATGATTCATTTATACACTGCAAGTGTAAATGCTTAATGTGTGAGCAATGGATGAAATCAGTAGCTCATTGAAAACTAGGTCTTAAACCAGCACGACTGAAATGAGCAACTCTTGATCTATATGGTAATATGTGATGAGAGAGAGGCATACTGGCATGGTGGACTACTAATACTAATCAGAATTCCAGGATCTTGGGAACCAGTCTGTATAGTTTGAATTTTTTTCCTTTGTTCAAATGGGTTTTCTCTGGGTATCTGGTTTCCTCTTGCTGTCTAGACGAGTCTTTAAACTGCCTGTGTGTGTGTGAGAGGGAGAGAGCTTGCTTGTCTGTCTGCCCTGTGATGGATTGGAGTCCGGCCTTGGTCCATGAATCTGCCAGGTCAGGCTCTGGCTCCCTGTATACCTCTAAGGATAGGTAGATAGTGAAAATGCATGGAAAAATGGATTGATGTGAGAAAAAGAAAGTTTTAAAAGAATGTTAGAGTGTGGGAATTCCTATTGAATGTAATCTACCTCCTAGGTTTAAAAGAAATCCCAATGTAATGAACAAGAAAAGATCTAAGGAGGCCAGGAAGGTATACCAGAGCTATTACATTATAACAGTAAAGCCAAATATTGTCCTATCCCAGTGGGAGGTAAAGATTGAAATAAACCTTAATTACCCTGCATACCTGACTCCAGGTAATGTTATAAACTGTCTGATCACACCTACAAAGTAGCTCACACGCACACATCACTAAGTGTGACATTAAAAATATAACTAATGTATTGCTTAATATGCATTGTCAGTGTGTTTCTATACCATACAACCAATGTACAGCTCTGCTACAGTATAATCAAAATGCATTCCTCATTGTAATGTGTGGGTTATGATTAAACATATATATAGTATGAACTTGGGGTTTAACTGCACGTGACTAAAATGCAATTATGCTGATTTTATTCAGTTCCCAACATCTGGTGTGTCTTAAGTGTTATTAGACAGCAGTGTCTTTGTACCTCTTGTTGTTTCAGCTGCTTTCTTCTAAAGCATCTCCAGATTTTCACTGACGTTTGCTACAGGCTACCACATTGCAGCTGCCCCGGCCCCAGCTGGTGGGAAGGCAGGGGAAAGGTGTGTCTCTGCATGTGGACTCCTCTGCAAATAGTGCTATGCTGTTGTCATGATGTTCGCCAATGTAATACCTGGCTCCTGAAATGCAGCTTGCAATGCATATAGCTTATTGTAATAAGATAAAAAGGCTACAATAGGACATTAAAATTGGGTACATCCTATTGTACACAACCTCAATAATTCACAAGAGAAAAAAAGACCGTAAACTGTGAACTGATATTTCAACTAGATGGTAATAACAGGATTGTATGTACTGTATGGACTTTTCCCTAAACATAGGACTTTGTATTGTCATTAGCCGTTTTTTCCTTTTGATGAAAATTCTGTGTCTGAACGATTTTCTTTTCTCCTCTGGAATTAATTCTAACAGATTATAAGAGAGACAATTAATCTGGGAGGCAGAAAGAAACCCACCACCCAGGGAAACGAGGCTACTGATACCACCACTACAGGTGTGGTTTCCTTCCAGGCTAAAGGCCTGGCTGTTTGAGAGTGACATTTCCATGGCAACCGAATCAATCATTTCCTTGAGTGCGGGTGGCCAGCATTTCCATTCACCCTTCCCTTTTAATTCCCCCCCCCCCCTCCAGTTTTGAAACAAAGCAACAGCAAAGGGCAGGGTTCTCGGGTTTGAATGGCTGTGCACACGCACTCCCAGACTGACGGGCACACAACAGCCTTGCGTTGCACGCGCTAATCCACACACACCAACATGCTTACAAACACACACAGCTGAGCGCATCAAGAGATGCAATCAGCTGTCTTCATTAGAAATCCTGAGATTCACACTAGATGTAACCATGACATCAATCAATGTGGGTGTTAGTATCATAAACAACAATGTGTCCTAAAATTACAACAAGCCCCACAGAAGTCTCCAGAGCCAAATTAATCCTGTGCAGTTTAACACTGTTTTTATTTTATACTACACACTGAATGAACGCCACTTCACTCTCACTTGTTTTAGCTGCTATTTCATTGATCTAATAATAAAAGTTTTTAAGTATCGCAGAATCTCAAATGGCCCTGGAAGTACCTAAAATGTCATAGGTAACTCAATTTGGCTCAATAATTATAATTTATTTGTTAATTTTTAATTTGTAATTTCCCTCCAAACTGCTTTGAAAAATAAAATGATCCGATTCACAAACACATAAATTCTCATACCTGTGTTTTTGTCCTGACCAGTATGACTTCTGTTTTGCATATATATTTTACTGTATATTATACAGTGAATTGATATTATTCAATAAATATTCAAATAAGACATTACTGTCACAAGAACAAGTAGAGGCTTATTCCAAGCAGCATAATGAATGTTGAATGATTTACACCTGCTTTACAGGTTTAGTCTTGTGTTAACTAATCAGGTTGCTCAAGGATTACAAGGGTTGAGAACTGAAAGTAATTTCACATTTACCAAATGTCCCTAGGCCTGTCTGAGGCTCATTTCAAGCAGATGCACTGTGTACCCTACAGTAATATACAAATTAATTATATATGGTTATGTCTAGAATGCCAGTAACAATTTGTGGAATATCACTGTATTTTAGAGGAACTGAAAATGCACCTTGGATGCAAAAAGATGAGAAAAAATAACCCACTGGCTGAAGTACCCTGCAATTTCTGTCCTGAATGACCCTATTCAACAGCAGCTTGTGCTTCTTAATTTTCAGAGGATATGCCAAAGCATGCTCTGATTGAACACAAATGTCAAAAGCCAGAGTTTACATAGCATACACAAAACCATGCCACACTAGTTGAATCCTAAAGCTACACTGAAGACAGTTCAATTTAAACACAGAACAACCTTTTCAGTGTATACAGCTTGACATTGGACAGTTTCAAAAGCTGTCTTCTTGGCTTTCTAATGTTAATCATGAAAGACCTAGCTGGAAATGTAATTCCTTGTACAGAATTGTTGTCCCTTTGTTGTTTTCCTGTTAAAAAGCTACTGCAATCAATTAAGATTAATTTTTATCTTAGAAATCATAGAAAATATATACTCCACACATGCCCACATCTGCTTTGATAAATACATTTGTGAATTTGCTCACTATATCCATTGACCATTTTAAGAACATTTTATATAACATTTCTGATGTTATTAATAAAATGTATCCATCCAGCCGTCAATTTTCAGTACAATTTGTCCTGTGAGGTAAGGGACACAGTAGAATTCATAAAGTGTGTCAAGGCTAAATTGAAATGACCTGATAAAATAACCACTAATAATGAGGGTTAACTGGCCATTTTACAGTCGTCGCATGCATCTGTGTAATATGAAATGTTTGTTAGAGCCAAGCTTGATCTTTAAGCACACCAGTTGGTCCTAGCCCAGACTCATAATTTGGATTGATTTTGTAATTTTCTGATGATCTGTGTAGATTGCATAGCTTCTTTGCAAAGTGGCTTGAGGTTTTGGGCTGAGAAACTCCTCTACGCTCCAGGCTTTACTCTTCGGAATGGCTACCCCTCTGCATGTGGTCACTGTTGTGTTGAGCAGCGGGGAGGAGAGACGAGGAGCCTACCTGGAGTGATGAGAGGATGGCTGCTCACAGAAGTCACATTCCTGCTCACATTCATCACGCGCGCCTCCAGGCTGGGGGAGCTCTCTCCTTTCTTGCCACCCTCTGTGGTGTTTTCAGGGGAGCCCCCCTTCGCCCCCCCACTCTGTGCGCCTTGGCCGGGACCCTTCGTGTGGGCGGTGGCTGGGCCAGAGGGGACGGGCTGCGGGCCACTGGCCACCTGTTTCAGACTCAGGCTCTGAAGCTGTGTCTGGGAAGGGGAGCCAGAGGCTGCCCCCTGCTGACTGCGGATAGCAAGGTTCTGCACCTGAAACCACAAGGAGTGAAAGACTGGAAGCCTGTTTTCACAGTGTGACAGCCATTGGGGGGCTTAGAGTAAAGATCAACCAAGCTAATCTGACAGCGCTTTCTCACGAAAAAAGCAGAATGCTACTTCAAGGAGTTAGGCCTTGGAACTTTGAAAAATACTTTGTGGGCTCTTAGCATGTCTACATTGTCTAAATAGGCCTAGGAACTGGATAGTTTTGTGTCTAAAGGAAAGCAGGTGAGCATTCAGAGCACTGTCTTGGCTAAAAATATTCTACCATGCAACAGTTTCTATTCAGTTGCATAGTAAAATCTTTGCTTGTCGCATCAGTCTTCCTTTTAAAAGGTTCATTGACTACTCAGCTAGCTGCTTTATTACACGCTATTCCTGTAGAGCCTAATTCAGTCATTTACAGCAGTTTAATTTAAAACTCATGAGGCTGGCATGCACACTATGGAGAACTGAGAACAAAGCACAGACGTGTCTCCTGCTATGCTAATCTACATTTGACTTGAAATGTTTTAATGAATTGTCCATTAACACTCCTACTGTAAATCTGAGGTTAGATTTTTTTTGTTTTCCCACAAACAATTTTTTCTATCATATTTTGGGCTGGCGGTTGTGATCACCCTACTGTGCCTCTGTCAATGGATATACTTTCCTAGCACCAGCCTGCCAGTCTATAGGTCATTTCCAGTGCTCCTAGAACTTTTTTAAAGCATTGGTTGCATGCTTTGCATTCAATCTCACCTTTATTGGACCTAAATTCACTCCGGAAATTAACTGATAATTTGTAGTGTTTTGATACAGGTCTATGATGCCCTCTAGTGCAGTTTACAGCAATTACAGAGCGGTCCTATTGTGTGGTCAGTCATTCTCACTGATTTCTGAATTAATGTTTGGGAAATATTGTATAGAACTGGAGTACCTCCTCAGTTTAAAAAACAAACAACCTTTTAAAATAAGTCGGCGAAAAATAACAGCAGGTTCTTAAGTGGTTTCGTTAAAATTATTTCCACAGGGAGTTGGCCACATTTTAATATGTAACCCACTGAGTACATTAAGGAACACTCATCCCAAACAGTGTGGTCAGCGTTACTTGCATGTTGCTGTGCATACACCTTGGATAAAGAGGACAAAGCTGTGTAGACCTTACAAACAAAAAAATCATTAAACAAGCAGGATGAAAATGTTGCCAATTTATCAAATCCCCCACTTAATGTAAGAAATAAGCCATGATTTAACAATTCAGCATGTCAGACTGTGACGAGTCAGTAGCACCCTGCATCTTTGCACATTATAGCACTCGGAATAGACAACTGCATTACTTGCAATATGATGGAATGTTTTTGAATGCAACATCTGCATTCAAGAGCAAATATTTCTTACACTCCAACAGTGGGGTACTGTTCAATTCAAGGTTTGATCATCTCAAAGCTTTTGCATTTGCGTGCAGATTATCACACTCTGGGGGATAAAAGAGGCTGGTGATATTGGGGGTGGTGGTACTGTATATATTGAGCTGTTGTGGCATAGTGAGCACCCCCAAAAACACATGAAATTGTCCACTTTTCCAATGCAGCTTGGCGAGGGCTGTGTTGTACTCCAGCAGGGCAGGATGGCTCTCTTACCTGGGCAGTGGCGGATTGCTGGCCGGCTGGCTGTGCAGTGGCCTCAGGCTGGACTGCAGTGACTGTGGCGGTTGGAGTGAAAATGAGCTGAGGGGACAAAGGAACAGCACGGCCTAGGCTCCTAGCTACTTGCACAAGGTTACTTTGCTGTGCCTGAAAATCACATCAAAACGTATGGCCTGTTTTATCTGGGCTCGTCAGGCAGCGCAGGCACAGACAAACCACAACAAGCAAGGGGCACTTTCCATGTGTTCTGCTGTGCCCAAAATATTATCTTGAACAGTTTTTAGATGTCTACATACAGTATAGGCAATGCTGTTGGGGTATAACTGCCAGCTGCACAAAGACGTAATGGACAGATTAGTCGGTGCTTTTTAGCGCATCAAAGTTTGGCAATTGCATTTTCAACAAATAAAAATCCTGAGTTTCTGAAAAATGGGATTGTGTTTATCACTGAAACAAATCTAGTTTATTCTTCTTTCAAAACAAGCTCCGTTTTTCCAAGATACTATGGCTTTATGTTGTGCGTTTCAAATGATCCGAAATTAAGAAATAGCAGAATGAAAAAGCACATTTCCATGAGAATTACATCACTTTTACATGGCTGCAACAAATGGCTTCATGCCACATGGCATCAGCTGTACCTGTCATTGATAATAAAAAAATAAAGGAGATGTCACTCCTGTTTCCAACATATCTATAAAACTGTTTGTATTTTGCGTGAAGTTCATTAGACATTAAAAAGCATGTCTTAACATTTGACAAAATATGGTGAAGATTGCACAGTTTGCAAGGAAAATATTTTTTTGTTAAGGCAAAGTGCCAAACTTTGATATATGTCTTAATATATAAGAGGAATGCAGAAACAATGAAGCAGTTTACAAATCAGAGTATGTCAAACTACACTTCTTTAAAGCTTTGGTAATGTGACCAAATGGTTGTTGTTTAGTTAAAGACAAAATGATGCATATATTTGAGAAACCAAGAATGCTCAATTAACGTTGGGTATGTCAAGATAATATTTTTACCAGTGCTTGCAGAGTTTTTTTTCTTCATAGTGTCACTTATTCAAGTTAATAGTGTGGAGTAATGAGCACCATGTAGGCAGTCTTTCTACCATGAGATAAATCAAGCGTAGTTTGATCTTTTGTAAGTGTATTTTTTAGATCGTTAGTTTCAATGCAAAGGACTGAGGTTAAGGATTGAGGTTAAATATTTCTGAATAGTGCATGGATATATTCTATATGATGTGAAAGGTTTGTCTTTTTGATTATCTTGGTGAAAGTCCAACCTGATTCACAAATGATGTAAAGCGTAACTAAGTTTAATTGTTTCTTTCATTTCTTTTCAGTGTATCTTTCTGCACATCAGCTGGTTAATCTGATAAATCATGCTTGCTTTGTCGAGTTTTCTAGCCTTTGGTCTGTTCATTTGTTGTACCTTAAGCTACAGCATTTTTCCTTTTTTCTTAGGCTTGATGACTTTTTTATAATGAGCCCTTTACAATGATTGAGTAAGTGTGTCACAGAGTAAACTCAATTAAGTTTTAATTTTCTACTGTAAATATTAGGGATGGAACAAATAACAAACCTAATGGAATGATTCAAAGTTACAAATATATTATAAAAGCCCTGTTTCAGTAGAGAAAAATCTTTTAACAATTCCAACAATTTAACAATATGAATACGTTTTTCTACTGCTTTGCCTTGGTCTTAATTTTGAGATTTATGGCGATACCTTGGCATGAACTGTGGTTCTGGGAATAGCAATAAATTTGTATTGTACCACGGCGTACGATGAAAAATAGAATTTTAAAATGCATGTACAATATCAGCTTTGAAAACATTACAGCATGAGGACCTGAAAAACTGTCAGGCTGTGAAGGATGCTCTTAAAAAATCTTAAAGGTATTGATTGGAATGATCCTTATGAATAGTGACATTGCAGTAGTAGGTCACACAAATAAGAAAGAAATCAGGATGCATTATTTTGTGCATGCATTATCTAAGCTTCACCACTGATTTATCCAAATATCTAAAGATTGAGCAACTGAAGCCTGTCTTTTACTATTCTTTTTTCAGGCAAGCGAGCTGTTGGAATAGTGACTAGGGAGAGAGCTCAGATGCACAAGAGTTGATTTGGCTTTTCTGTCGTTAAAGGCCATGACTCTTGGCTTTAGTGAGTGAGCTTCCAGAGATCAGAAACAAAGGCTATACACCCATGGAAGGAGATCGCCATTGCCAAGGCACCACATGGATGAAGAATCATAAAGTAGCCCAGACAAAGAGGTAGGTTGTGTTTGTGATTCTGCTGGGGAAGGGGTGGTTTGATCTTTGTTGACAATCAAGGGCTAATGCTCAGCCTCTACTGCATCTGCTTTCATTGCCCCAGAGGGGTTGTGTTGGGTCAGATTGGATCACCCTCTAAGTGATGAATAGGAAGCTCGCTACAGCCCCAGTCTGCAAGCAAAGCGGTTTTGTTTCTTCCTGTAAATTCACTAGTTCAGCGTCTTTTGTCTCGATTTACAATGTCCCTGCCAGGCCTAGGGCAATTTTCCTGAGCTCTGAATTAAAATGTTTTGGATGAAAAATGTCCACAAGTCGTTAAATCAGGTGGTGGGATAGGTGCTGAAATTGAGCAATGAGCACTGGTGCTGTGCTGGTAACATAGTAACATAATTTGATTCTCTGTTAAGACTTAGCAAGGTTAGATATATTTTAGTGGGAAAATAACTTTAAATATGCACTGTTCACAAATGTTAATACTGTGCAATATTAATAATGTTTTATTATCCCATCAAATGTTCAAAGTTGTGTTAGTGTTTCATTTTGAACTGTGAATACAAATTTCAGCAGGTCTATGAGCAAAAGAAATATTTTGAGGTTTAATTGAGGGACCTGACAATGGTAGAATTCAGATGTGTTTGTGAAAAATAGAAAACTTGGCCGTTGCAGTGCTTTTTCAAATGATTTGGGAGTCGCAATAAAAATAGAAATTACAACCTTACTCAACAAAACAGGTTTGACATGTTTAAAAAATGGTGGGATTGCATTTCTTCTCTGCCTTATCAACACTCCCATTATAAGCACAACCTGTATTTATGCTTTGCTTGGAAACACATGTGGTATATTTCACATCAAGCATCGTTGGTTAAAATTAATAGCTACCACACTGAATCTTTTTCTAAGCCTCACCCTACAAAGAAAATAATTGCACTTTGGAGGGGAAATATGGAACAGATGTACAATCACATATCAGGTAAGACAATCCTGCATCCACATTTCAAGATGATGATATGGTGGTCTAAATGGATGACAAGTCATTCTTATTTTAAATGCACAAGAGGTAAGGACATTGCTGAAATTAAATTCTTGCTTCCTACTGTATGTATGCATGCATATTCATATTGCTGCAGTCTTCCAAATCCTTGTAAAGGTCAAAATATTCAGTTTCCTAGATAAATTAATCCTTTATTTGGTTGCTTTATTGTTCGCATCAACCTTTAATATGCTATAGGTAGAGAAAACCAGTAATTCCTTTTGCAGTAGGGTCTCGTTATCTGTGATTTTAATATAAGCAAATTTGCTTAGTCATGATTCAGTTTGGCTAGTGACAATGAAAGTAGAGCAAAGCAGGATGAAGTTGAGCTGAAGGTTTTTAATTGCAGCTTTTCAAATTACTGAAGCAACAGACTAGGATCGTGAGACAAATCTAGCTAGTGAGACCACCTCTCTCTCCCTGCCCAAGTACCCACTACCCAGCATCTGTATCTCGGCATGATCATGTTTTTATAATGTAGCAGAAGCTCCTGTTTCTGTGGTAGCTGTATGGAGAATGACAGGCTGGGGACGGCTTTACAGGCCTCACAGTTTTATTACAATGAGGTGCGATAATTACAGAGGCAAAAAGAGAAAGTGCAGGCATCCACTGGACAGATAGGAGGGATTCATGTTGTTTATTTTAACTGATTACCATTTGCGATTCCTGTTGTTTCTTTTAGTCGATTAAAGTTTATTTTTTTAAGATTAATGCTTTATTCGTTAACTTTTATTCTTTTTATTTTTTATTATTTTTATTCATTAGCATACAAGGGAGGTTTACTTATTTATTTTAATCACACAGACTATATACTGTAGTAGATTATGCAAAAATAAACTATAGGGATGAACTTGGTTATATGTGAATTTGCCTATTTTTGCGACGGTTCTCTGCACTCTACCCTCACAAATGTCAAGACCCTACTGTACTTAGTCTAAATGTGATCTAAACATCAATCAGTGCCAGCTGACCTAAAAAGTTCAGGAAGACCAGCAACAACACGGTGTCCATCAAAGCTGAGATTTTGTCAACAGAAATTAATTGCATGTCATGAAAAAATATTCAGAAGCTGTTTTTTATTACATTATATTTTGATGAAAGAACAACGCTTTCTAGTCATCCTTTTATACACTGGCTGCTGTAAGGTAGAAGTCGGACAAAATCTCAACTTCGGCATAGAATAAAAATACTACAAATAAGAAACTGAACTGCACCTTGCATAACATATGTACTACACATAAACGTACAATGCCTTACAGATTAGAGTGTAGTATACCTTATGGATATATTGTATAATGCACAATGCACTACTCGACAAGATGTGCATGCTGACAATGGCGGTTATAAATATTGCTTGAATCAGCAATTTTCAGCCATTTGAAATCACTGTAGGCTGTAAATAGTTGGTTATATTAGTAAGAAACTGGCTTTCTCAGCCTCCTGGCTAGAAGGCCACACCTGTGGCCTGCAGGGCTGTGCAGGTCTGCAGTGACATCAGTTAGATGTTCTAACTCTTCTGTGTCCTGTCAGGAGCTGTGGAGCTTGCATGTGTGTGTCATCTCCCCAGCAGGTACAGCTCTATTGATGTCAAGTCAGGAATGTGACTATTACGAACTATGCAGATGCGGCACCCCTGTTGCCCTTATTTTAAATTTCAAACATTCTGTTTCGCCACGCTACAATGAACAGGGCCAACAGCCTGTATATATGTGCAAGTGCAAAGTTCCTGATTATTATCAGTGCAATCAAAAATAAAAAAAAAATGAAAGCCAAAAATAGGTGGTCATGCATCTACTTAATTACTTTGATGAAATATGTAATAATCACAAATCTGTGGCTTTACATTTAATTGTGACGTTTATGAAGCACTCCTTACAGCCTCAGATTGCATGCTGTTCTATAGTTACATAAACTTGAAGAAAGGCTGTAAATGGCTGAGGCAATATTCATTACCGGTATATTGAGTAATCCTCAATACAGAAGTTAATGGATGTAACCTTTGGCAAGAGGTATGGGGTTCCAACAGTGCTAATCAACCTTGAAAGCTGTTGTGAGACAGACTGAGTCGTACTGTATATACTGTACAGTATGCATGCACACACAGCAGGCTCGGGTGATATAAAGCAGTGCTTATTGCAGCAGTTTGCTTTGCAATAATTAGGCACTGTTTTATTGCAATACTCCATGGTGTTTATCCCAAGGGTATTGGATTTGTTTAGACAGAATAAGAACCAAGCACACACATTCCATGTAAACACGCTCACACCACATTAAGCCTGGAATGGGTGTGTTTCCAGAAGGGGGTGTGTGTGTGTCTCAGGCCATGCCAGTGCTTACCATCTGGGCACGGAGGTACATCTGGGCTTGGCTAGCTGTCAGCCCAGGGCCAGAGGTGTTGCCCAGCAGGACGGCCTGTTGGGTGATTCCCGCCGGAGCGGAGTTGACACTTTGTGCACGGCTTATCAGCTGGGCGGCCGCAGCAGGGGAGGTTGCCAGGTTAATCTGCACAAGAGCACAGGAACAGGAGAGACGGGGAGAGTCAGATCAGGCTTCATCCACAGGGACGGAAGTCCATAGTGGCACACACGGCAGAGCACAACCACTGCTTCGCAGCACATCCTGGTCTCCAGGGCAACACAGTACACACAGGCGAATCCTTTGCAAATCAAGGATTGAGAAGGCATCACGGTCTATCGTTAAACAGGAACGAACAAGAAATTCTAATATCTGTTTTTCTCAAAGATTCTGCTTTGCGAGACTCACGGTTGTTTGTGAGGATCCCGTTTGCTGAGAGGTGGTCCCGTTTTGGTTAGTTCCCTGACGGCCTGCAGCCATGCTGGCCTGCGAGAGAAAGAGAGGATTGAGTAGGGGACTGCAGGCGAAAAGTACCCTCGTTAATCACAGCCAGACCCTTCAGAAGGAAGGGAAGCCCTGATCCTACTTTTATATAAACAGGACACCCATTTAAAACTGCATAGGAAGCAGACCATTCCCCATTCCTGGTTTTACGTGTCGACTTCGGCCATTCATTTATTTGTTTTCTCAAGTTTGTTTAACTTTCCAGGCTGCTTGCACTACAGCAGATGCAGTGGAGGGTGTGTCTTAAATTAATCCAATCAAGAACATGAAGGATTGTATACGATAAATGACACTTTTGAAAATAAATATGTGATTCCAACTTTTTTTACACTTTGGCAGCTACACTCTGTTATATTTCCTGCTGGGAGTCTTTGATAGTCTTATTATTGGAGTGTCATTCGTGGAAGCACAATTCCTAAAGGTTCCTGGGCAACATATAACGTTTTACATGACTGCCCTGGTTTCTTGCTATTTGAAGCTGAAACATTGCACACTGAGAAATGCTTAAGTTAAAAAATAACCTAAAACTATAAAAGTCTAGCAAACACAAAGGTGTTTAAAAGGTTTTTCTTGAGGTTAAGCAGAAATGCATTAAATATGATATCACAAATACCATCATGCCTTCTTTATGTTCTGTCAGTTAAGTTTACAATATAAATGACTGACTTCCTAAGCACAAAACTACAGCAATATGGAAAACACATATTGGATTACATTTCATGTAGAGAATATCTGATTATCCTGTATTGACAAGACTGTAGAGAAGAACTTTATTTTTGCATTTCGTCTCTTAATGTTTTGATAATATCTTAAAAAAAAAAAACCAAGACTGGCACCCAGTCATGAAAACATGCCTGAGCTCTGTGTGTGTTCAAGACTGGGCCCACACTGTGCTGCTCCAGGCCAGCCAACAGCTTCCTGTGCTCGATCATTTCTCTGCGTCATGAGCGGATGTTAAGCATTTAAATCTTTCTACATCAGAGACTCCTTTGCATGGAAATGAGCGTGCCTTAGGGAGGCTGCCATGCACTATTCATCAGAGGTTGTCTGAATCCAAAGCTGTTTTTTTTTTGTGTAAAACCTAACAGAAGAGAAAGAAAACCGATGAATGTGCAGCGATGCTCAGGGAAGTCTTTTCACGTGAATGATATTTAAATTACTTTCGCTGTTTTGATGATCATATGTTAGATTCATTAGATCTCAAGGCTCTCTTGACCATTGAGCAAAACACACCGCTTGGAGTGAAGTTTCATGGGATCTCTGGCTTGACTTCAAGGAACTGGGGACAAATATGCAAATGTGAAGAATAAGTTACAGTACATGAGAGCAGTGGGATGTTAACATTGATGTTGTGAAGGTACCAGTTAGGGAGGTGTAATGAGAAAATACTATAGAGTACCACTTAGAAGTGTTTTTGAAGCAGATGGTCATTTTTGTTCTATTGTACTTTTACAGTCCTAACAAAGGAGAGAAATATATATATACTGTATGCTTCTGTGTGTATATTATTGGGTTTTGGAACTTAGTATGTCTACAGAAAAGCAATACTGATTATAGTCTATTTTGTTCCTTCTAAAACAGCTCAGATCCTCTCGACATGTGTCCATGGAGGTCTGTTCTCAATCTCTGGACAATGGGGGGTGGTGTCCCACAGTTAAAGTGAAATTAATCACTGTCACCCCCTTACTGTTTAACTATTGTTTAGCAGGAATCCAGTGGAGTCTCAGAGGGGAGAGAGGTCTAGTCGATTTGTCAATTCAGGTTTCTCAAAACTCTCGAGAGGGAAACTTGGAGTAAAATTGACTGAGGCAAAGGAGATCTGTTCTGTAAATCAGTGAAGTGTAATTGGAAAGCTTTCTGGTCCCTCTGATTAGCCAGCTGTCTATGTATGTTTCAGTTTGCTTTGCAATTTCAGGGCAATCTAATTTAGCTTTCATACTCAAAGGGAAAAGTCATGCTTAATGGCCTTTTTCAACAGTATTTTTGGAAATGGCTTCTGATTCAATATTGTTTTATCTTAAGATGTATCTGAGACAGGAGACATAATTTGCTGCTGCTGATGCTCCACAGACCATTTTTTCTTCTAAACACTGAGAAATGTAAAGTGAAAACGGAATATTTAAAGCGTTTGCTAATCTTATTTTATTATTATACGGATTATGCTGATAACTTTAAGAACTCAAAGCTTCTTCAGTGTGTAGTGTTCCATTAGTACCATTGCCTATAAATGATTTGGTTGAAATGTGCTAACAGCCATTTTACAGAAACTCACGTGTGGACTGATAGGATAAACATCCCAAGGAGTAAGAATGGTACTGCAGAGAAAAGACTAATATATGTTTCCTGCAGAAAGAGGATGTTGTGCGAATTAATTATGAAATGAAAGGAAAGGCATATCTTTTCTAAGATGCCTCCAGTTTCTGTGGTCTTCTTGTCCATGTAATAGACATCTTGGTTTAAAAATCTTTGATCAATATACCATTGTGGATTTTGTTACCTCTGTTCTGATAGCAGGGATTTACTTTTCTTTTTCATCAAAATACTTTCAGTAGAAGACCTTGGAGTTTGACCTGGCTTATCAGTCCTACTGCAAGAATAACTGGATATGTCAAATAAAACAAAAAGCCTATCACACTATCTCCAACTCACATTAAAAAAAGACACACGCTCACAGCAGAATGTTGTGCGAATACAAAACTTGTATTATATGTGAAATTTTGGGGAAACAGTCCTACTGCTCATTGTACTTTTTCAGTCCTGAGTTTGTTTTGAATTTAATTTTAAGTCACCATCTCCCTTGAATCCAAGTGAGTATAGATCCAAGCTAATGATAGTGAAGAGCCCTACGTTTACTAAATTATTTTCTCTATGAGGGTCACCTGTTATCAGTCTTCACTCAGGGCATGTCATTTGAGACAGGATTAATAAATTCAGCTCTCCATAAACGTTTATTTCTAATCAATACAATTTCAGCCTTTCAGGAATTGGCCCTTGGTCAAGGACAATCACTTCTGAAGTAAGGAAAGACACATAAATAACAAAAACAGCTTCTACCACATGACATTGAAACCTCCGGATAGGTTTAGGTCTGTATTAGGCAGAAGGGCATTGAGACCTCTGAAGTGAGCAGGATATTGTGGATTCTGGTGTCATAAAAGGGAAATGTGAGTTTTTGGTGTAATTCATTAATAAATAATATCAGCAAAAAAAGAGCATTAAGTGCTGTTGAATTCAAAAATGGACGCAGATCCCTATTGCCTTGAATGACCGCAGTATTGACATTTACCAACTGGTGATGTGAGGTTGTCTGCGGTCTTCTTTCATCTCTGTCACTCTCATGTATGCTGGGGCTTTTTATTTAAGGTAACTTTAAATATTTTTCTCTGCTCTGACCTTTACCAGAGATTAGGAAAATGAAAAACGCCAATGTTCTGTTTGGCTGTATAATTCACCTTTGTTCACCTGTGTGAATAAATTTAGGTGTTGGATTAATCCAAAGTGTTTGCCTTGAGATTTGTTTTCATGATTTTGCTGCATCTGAAATACATTGAAATATGTTGTTTCATTTAAATCCTCAGTAAGATTAGTTTAAATTCAGTTTAGAAGCAACCCTTTTATCATTTGCAAGCAACCCATTTTTTTGTGAACCGCAGAGATCACATACAGTAACTTCCAACAGCTGTGCTGTGCATTGCATTTGAAAAATCACAGCAGTCATACAGTATACACAAACTGGCCTGGTGATCGAGTGTATCCCATGTCATAATAATAAACGAAATTGTGATTTGAAAGGAAGTTATCTAGTTTCATTCTAAAAAGATTGCATGTGTTTTATAATACAGCATTGATCTCCTAGCAGTGTGAGTAATACTGAAGCAACTGTGCATCTTAGCTCAATACTATTCTTCTCTCTGTATACCCCCAGCCTGTCTGGTTCAGGTCTTGAAGCTGTCTGAGGTTTGACTTTATTCCCCCCCCCCCCCCCCAAAAAAAAACCGTGGTGTGCCGTGCTGAGAGCTCCAGAAATCGATCTCACTTCTAAACTCTAATGCCGAGAGCCATACTAAGAAGCCTACTGAGATGAAATCCTGATCCTGACTGACTGTGGCGATATCATTGCACTGAAAGAAAGATCAGGGCTGTGCTGCATCGTCGTTGTGATTCGGTTCTGGCCGATGTGTTTCCCCCTCTGCCGCTCATCTGCTGTGTGGCGAGATGCAGGTGCGAAATGGGAACCTTTTCCTCCACGCAACGGTCACCTCCCCAGCTGATTCGGGTCTTACCTGCTGCACAGCAGCCAGGCTCTGGAGCTGAGCATTGTTCAGGTGCTGTTGCTGGAGCGCGGCAGTCTGCAGCATGAGGTGCTGCTGCTGTGCTGCGTACATCTGCTGCAAGTACTGTGCTGCTGTGTTGGGCTGCCGGTGCAGAGCCTGCTGGATCACCTGCCAAGAACCACAGAGGGAACAGATCAGCCGCCCTCCTGTTGACTGGGATAGCTCCTTTTATTACATCACATGCAACACTCATGCAACTACAGTTTACAGTATTATCGATGACCTAGCCAGAAGGCTCTACATTCCTGTTGGATCTGCCTTCCAAGACAGGAATCCCACCCAAACAAAGCATGTGTGAGTACTGCGATTTAGTGCTGCTTATGTGCTTCAGGACCTGGATGGCTTGTCATCAAAGATAGAAGCATGCAATTGGTGTTGTACTATCAGATTCTGGAGGAGAATTTCGGATCATCCATTTTTTAGCTGAAGATGCAGTTATGCAGATGCAGGGGAAGCAGTTAAACAAGCTAAAAACAGTTCAAGAAGATAAGAGCATGGCATTTCAATGAAGAGATGTTAAAATTGTACAATGCACTAGTAAGGCCTTTTGTAGAATTACGGATAATTTTGGTCACCACGTTATTGAAAATAATCAGCCCAGAGAAGCAACCAGGTAGATTCCAGGACTTATTGAAATGTCCCAAACTGACGAGTGAAGATTTATGAAGGGACCTCATACCAACATTCAAAATTCTCAAAGGTACTGACAAAGTCAACCAAGCAGACTTTTTCAGAATAAGCAGTGAAACACAAACCAAAGGGCTGTAGAAGTATTGAATAATTGTCCAGCCATGCTGTTGGAGCCAATACCCTGGATTCTTTCTGGAAAGCTGGACAAGATCCTTGGATCCAATTGCTCCTAGCTACCAAATGGGCTAGATTTCCTAAATGGCCTCCTCGCTGTTGTAACCTTTCTCATGTTCTTATTTATTCCATTTCTGCAGTGGTTAAGTTGAGTTATTATTTACAGAGGAGTACAAATGGCAACACATCAGCTACTGGAGTACCTTCCTGAGATAAAGCAGCAAGTTGCATTTTGATCTGTCAGCTCTCCTGGCTGAGATTAATATATCCTCTGCACAGCCCATTCTCAATACGCCCCTGGTCATGTCCTCAGTACTGCGTGTTGCATGGCTTGGCTATTGTTTGACAGCCAGGGTTAGCTATCTCCATTACTGAACCCCAATCAATCACTTCAGGGTGACAGCAAGGCCACATACCCCAGCTTTTTAGGGCTCACCAGACCAACATAGGACTTCCGAAGATCAATCAATGTATATTGACAGCGCTGCTACATGAGGCACCTATTTAATGATAATTTACACAAGGAGCTTGTCTGGGGAAGCCTTCAGAGCTGAAAGCTAGGGGTGAGGAATGGGCATTTAAAATGTTAAATAAATGTAACCCTAATTGGACACATTCTTTCTTAGCGTATTGGTTTAAAATCATTAAACTTTTATTTATTTCTCCAGCAAAAAATTCAAACATGCATATTGATCCTGTATTGACGAAGAAAAAAAATGTCCTGATAAAATGGACTTGCACACAAATGTGCAGTACTGTTTTGCACATGAATGTTTCTTGAACAAAAATCATCCAGGTGTTACCACAGATTGGCTTCCTTAAATGTATTTGTTTAAGTGGACACCTTTTCTTCCAAACTGCGTATAACTGCACACATTTTGAAGAACACTATTTAAACTGAGGACCCAACTAAGTTAAAGATTTCATTGCACTTTCCCGACACTAGGTATCCTGGCTTAATTTGCTCTGGCCTTCTCAAAATTTCCCCTTAATTCAATGGGTGAAGCAATTTCTCACATCTCGGCCAGATCTGTAGTGGGCCTGTTGACACACAATGGCTAACAATGTCGTGGCTGCTGCCTTTCACTGGGTGAAGTGGGTCCCCTCCTAATAGTGAGGCTCTGGGAAAAGAAAATGACTACATATAAGAAATTATTATTTTTGCTCTTTGTGGGTATTTGACTGTAGAGGAACATTTTTTTTAATTAACTGATTTATACAAATCTAACAGAGTATTCATGGATAAAATGAATGTGGGACTAAGACCCTGTTTTTTAGCTAAGAGTCAGTATATGAGGACTCTTCATGCTCTCTGTAATGTTTGGTTTCTATGGTCATGTTTGAAAGAAGACGAGATACAGCATATGTTGTTTAGTTGGCATGTGAGTACTTTTGGTCTCCCTGTAGCTGTACATGATTTTACACAAATTAACATGACTTCAGTATTACCTCTGTTCAATACCTACATTTTTTTAATGTGAGCACAATAGTTCTGTGCAAATAGATCAGTATTGAAACTATTTATAGAAATCTATTTCTGACTTTTTTTATAATTGCATACTGTTTGAATCAGGCTCCCATTGATTGAAAAACAAAGTAGAAAGAAACACAAATTCTTACTCTTGCTTTCCTGTCATATAGTCATGGTTTTTGATCATAGACCATTAAGTCACCAGTTCATTGCAGCAAGAAGAAGAATGTCAAGTGTTTATTCACTGACATTGTAATAAAGTTTTGTTTTTACTTCAGCTGATTTACATTTGTAAATGATACAAGTGTTTAGGGGAAATAATTGCTCTATAGTTCTCAATGAACAGTGGTGTACACATAGGATGTCTATAAAAGCAAGCAAATAGTCACCTTCCCAGTCCTACACTCAAGTCTACATAGTACACCTTGATTTCAATAGACCCTGACAAAGAAGTTTCACAGTAAAGAAGGGACTGTAATAATGGGGTCCCAGATCGATCTATCAGCCAGTGTAATACCACCCTGTTTCTCTTGGTCTTTCTCCTTCTCTAAGAGCTCCCTCCCTCACAGATGGCTTTGACATCTCTCTCAGCGATCTGCTCCAGTGACACAGAACACTTGTCTTCTGCCTGTCCCAGTCCTGTGAACACTGAACTCTTCATGAAGGCAGTTTCTAGTAAAGGGGGATTCCCTAAGGCACTGACAAATGGTTTCCATGCCCTTTCATGAGCTATAGTGTTGTTGCCAAGTCCCCCGTGTAATTACCTTGCTCAGCTACCCATTTCTAGGCATAACAAGCTGCCGAATACAAATGCTTTTGTTACATTTAATTCAGCACAACCCTCTGTAGAGCTTACAGTCTTCTAGGCATAACAGGGGTGAGCAAGGAGAAAGCCATCAAAAGCACCATAGAGATTGCAGAAATAGTGTCAAGATGACTGTGGATCATGAGGGGTGACCCATGGGTAACAGCCACCTGCACATAAGTCAGACCTTGATCAACCTTGGTCTGGTCACCCAGGCAAGGGCGTCTGATATTGAAAGACCCCAAAACACCCAGTGACCCCAGGTAACATCACTGATGATGTGTCCAGGTGTATCAGAGGACATATTTTTCAATCTGGTACAAGCCGTATTTTACTGATGGCATCTTTCATGCCTTACATATTTCAGTGATAGTATGGCCCTGCTAAATGTCTTTTCAAATCAGGTTATTGCAGGTTATACTCTTACAACTAGGTCAAGTATGAAAACATTAATATGCAGTATTTCACAGATGGGGAGAAATAGGTTGACCATTTGTATTAGACTACAATTTGATACAAAAACCGGATGAATTCTTGACAATACTTAAAAAAATGTCTGCTGTATGCATTTATGCACATTTCCTACCCTTGTTGCAAACCCAGTGGTTTCCATATACTTATATACTTTAAATACTACACACCTACATTTGATGTTGTTCAGGTAGGTAGCTGCATCAGCATGTGTAGGCTTCAAAATAACAAGTCAAGGTTTATTCCATTCTGAACAATGTTTCAGCTGTGGGGCCTTCTTCGGGTGACTGAAGCCAAAACGTTGTGTTTCTTTTTTTCTTCTTTTTAGCATTGAATAAACCTTTACTTGTACATGTGATGTTAACAAGAGCTTCTGGCAAATTTAAAGATGTGATTTACAGGAACAGTAAAACATCTTTACCAAAGAATAACACAGTCACAATTTTGTATCTACGATATGATAACTATCACTATCATAAGCTTACACATCTTACAGAAGGCATTGATTTCTCATTCCTGACATGCATTATTAAAGATTCTGAGCTATGAAACACACCTGTTCTCATGCTGACCTGATATACTGCTTCCAGTTCCCTAAGAACTGAATTTGTTATGCCAGTTTGTGGTGAAGAAGGTTCTTTTCTAAATTACCTTTAAACTTTAAAGTTAGTGAGCTGAACGGATCAGTCTGTTTGCCAGAGGTCCTCATGTAATGAACTTTGTTATTTTATTATTATTTAATTGTGATGTCTCCTCAGATCTTTCTACCTCCTAATGACTTGATTCCTCTATGATTTAAACCCCAGTCCGTGTAACTACACTTAAGGCAATAACTTAGTATTTCTTTGTGCTCATTCTAAAGGCACACCATTGCCCAGAGAAAAATGTAGTCACATTACTGCAGTAGAACATTTGTTATTGCTTGGTAGTACAAAAGAGGTGTGAGTTATCCATCAGGGATTGTTGATCATTGCATTGGAAAAACAGGTTTCAAAACTATCCAGTGTAGCTCTTGGAGAGAATGGTTCAGAAAACAGGAAACAGAGCAAAATTATGATGCACACATATTGAGTTTCTGTTCAGGTGTTTCCCCTTTAGAAGCATATCCTAGTACAAGACAGTTATAAACACTAAAACACAATAGAAAACTGCAGTTGTCAAAGTTTGATCTCTTCTGTAGGATTATTGGTAGCCCCTAGTACCATGTAATTTGGGTTTATCTAAATTTAAGACCACTTTATCCTCACTTTTGTGGTTAATTGAAATTCAATGGTTTCAGCATGAAATTAAATTAATTTGATATCATAAGTTTCTGGTCTAGTTTATTGCATTTCTCAGTATTTTATGTTTTACATACAGAAGCAAAATCAGCATATTTTCATTTTTAATTTATGTATATATTCAATTTCAATCACAGTTTCTGTCCTACTGTAGTTTAGTGTCAAGGTTTTTGTGTGCATAAAAATGTTTTAGCATACAAACCAGAAGCTTAAACAAATGATGAAAAAAAGCCAAAACCTATTTTAAGACATCTAAGAGAATTTCTGTCAAGACAGA